CTTCCAATTACAGTACGAAGGCATGCGGAAAGGAAAGACAAATAACTGAAGCACAGTATTTTAAAGAATAAGCAAAATTTTACATTTAAAAAGAGATAGTTGTCTTAAAGTACATTCAGTATTGTTTGTTCTGTAAGATATTTTTATTTCAAACACTGCTTGCTTAATTTTAAAATGAAAATTTTTTAGAATAATTAATATATACAGTTTAAGCAAAACAGAACCAAGCTTATAAAAGCTAAGCCGCGAAGTATATTCAAAATTGAAATACTAACTATATCTTTGCAAATAACAACAAAAACAAATTTAACTGTCAAAGAACGGGTAGCTTTCTGTCAGCAATCAGAATCTGATTAAGTAAAACAAGTTCAATAATCAGAACGAAATATTAAACGAAAAGCAGTAATAGTTAAAAAAAAAAAAAAAAAGAAACATTGAAAAAGAAAATAAACTGCAGACTCAATTAGTACAATAATATTAACAATCTAAACGTGAATAATCATGTAATAGCACATATACATAACAAGAAATTAACAATCTATAACTAAGATTTAATTAAAGGTTAACTTTTTAATTAAATTTAATTTAGTTTTAAACTCTGAAAAATTAGCAATTTGATGTTAAAATGTTCATCAAGACTAATATATGTAACATAACATCCAAGAATCGAATTACAGTCTGTAACCTAAGGAAGTCAGAGCTTGTCAAAACACGCGATCTCTGACGTCACCGACACATTTCGTGATTTTTCGATTGACTTAGGTGAATTGAGTCACATAGTCAGGCGCCTGGGCAGTTGCAACATCCTGTAACATAGATACATGATGGGGCATCGCATCCATCATAGAACTGTGTCAGCAGGAGAACATAACGTAGAATTATGGCTAACATGATGATGTGGAAGAGAGGGAAAAGGCAAAGGCCATTTCCCAAGCCATGAAGTCATCCAGACGAAGGTATACCTCCAGAGAAGGTATCCAGACGAAGAGTAAGTTAACAACAAAAATAAATTAAGTATGTAATTAGAATAAAGATCAATGTGGAGTAAAAATACTGTCTAAGGTGCAGTAATATTGCAACCGGCCGTTTTCTATTGAGAGCATTTGTAATATCATAGTCCATGAATGGGTTCGATTTATGGTTACTAAGACTATTCTCATTGAGAAAATTTTTAGCTATTTCTTGCTGTGAATGCACTGAATTTGTGAGTTTAACATTTAGTTCATCGTGAATAGCAGTGATTCTAATAAACCACTTGCTTTTGGTAATTTGACTCAATGTGACATTCTGAACATCTTTTAAATTGAGTGTCACTAAGAAAATTCCAGACGGGGCAGGCGTAGGTGAGGATGGGTCGTAACATTGTCTTATGCAGGAGTAACTTATTGTCAAAAGAGAGAACGGAATTTCGTGAAATTTTAGCAGCCCGAAACTTGTTAATAGCTTGTTTAGATCCGTGATAGTCTTTAGTCTAATATGATGCCCAGTTACTTGCTTGGTCCACGGGATAATAGCATTGTACATATTGATGCTCATGTTGATATTTCTTTTTCTAGTAAAGAGAATTCTTTCAGAATTTTCAACATTAATTTTTATTTTTCATTTGATGAGCCAAGACTCCAGTGTATGTATATGTTCCTGTAGAAACTGTGTTACTGAACGCAGAGACGCATTTTGTGCTAGGATCGCAGTATCGTCTGCTTACATGGCTAGAGTAGTGTTAGATAATCGTGAGATATCGTTCGCATAAAGCAGCGGTTCTCAACCTTTTGACTAATGCGTACCATCTAAACAAAAATTGAAAAACTTCAGTACCACCGCTACATTTTACAATAATTATTTTTCAAATTCTCAATAGAAATTATTTAAAATATATATATATTGCCATTTGCACTACCTGTTGGCTATTTGTATTAAATATGCACACATCAAAATGTTAGATTAAAAATCGGTTTTCATTTTAATTATCAAAATTTAAGTTATAATACCTAAATTTTAAAATTTAATGTGAAATTTGGGTCTGTTTAAGAGAGATCAATTTCCTTATCTCTAGCCTTATTTCACTTAGCTTTAATCGTAAATTAGGATCCACTTTTAATTTTTCTCTGTATTTATTCTTCAAATATAACATGGAAGAAAATCCTTGTTCACACAAATAGGTTGTGCAAAAAGGCAATAAAAATTTGTTAGCTTTATTTGAGATGCCCTTAAATTATTTTTTCCCGTTCAGCCAAAAGTTAACAAATGTGTTATTTTTGAAATCTTCAGTTCGAGTTCAATCACGGGAAATTTCTATCAATTGTTCTTTTTCTTCAGGAGATTTTTGAGCTTAATAGTTAAATATACTTTATTTCTTTGCGTACCAACTATTTTTCTCTTGAGTACCACCGGCTGAGAATCGCTGGCATAAAGTGAAAAGAAGATCTTCATCGATGGCTGTGACATCTTTTTCGCGTTCCCAATTTTTTTATATCAATTTGAAGGTTATGCAGAGATCTGCACTTTATTCGAACTTCATCCTTGTTTGCATAATCGCCATGCCCATTAACAACGTTTCTAGTATAGTTATTTTCGGTTGCAGCACCGTTTTATTTTTGTCTACCACCATACTGATTCTTTACTGTGTGACTCGTTAAGAACCAGATGTTATGTATCTATTTTATTAAACTAATTGAAGAGTGGATAGTACTATGAAAACAAAACAACTTTAATAACGCGAACTACTACATAAGTTTCCGTAGGTACATTGCAGAAGGTTTGCTTAATCGAGTGAAACGGCTAAAGCGAAGAATATTATATTCTTCGCTAAATATATTATATTTTTCTAAATATTATATTTTTCTATATAAGTAGAGCTGTATTCTAAATTAACACACTAGCTTCTCTGCTGTTGCAATGAAACATTTTAAATGTGCTTTTGCTGTTAAAATTTAAATGTGACAATTTTGTTAATAAGCTGTTATTTATAGAATTACATAGGTAAATTTGGTTGGCATTTTCACAAAAAATTTAGATCTATCCACTAGCGATACCAGGCAAGAGAGTACACGATTCAGGAACAATACTAGCTGATTTGGTGATGCATGCAAATACATTGTATTGCCATCTATAACCATTTATAAACAATCGCTGTTTCTGTTAATAAACTATAATGAATTAAATTGAGATACAAAAGAAAACCCTTCTTCTCAGATCAAACTTATCCATCCTATTTATGAAGATACTTTGGTCAGACTGCTTATCATCATGATGACGATATTGTTTGACCGCGAGAGATGTGATTATGAGCATTAACATCCGTAAGCCATTCAGTCAGCTTAATTTGCAAAATAGAGCGGATGGGTGTGATTTTTGACTTAGAATAACATAATCTGAGTTCCTAGATTACTTCTCAGTGGTGGGGAATCCTAGCTAATGACCCTACTGATGAGTTTACATGCTGTCTATATGTCAACCAAGACTTTGTAAGCGACTGTGAAAATATACTGTCTTAGCTAGCCAGTCGTGACTACTAACACAAACTCGCACGCACTAGATTTATGTATTCACTAAATAGAGCGGATGAGTATTGTCAGTGATACAAATATTTTATTTATTTATTTTGCTTTTAATTTTATCTTTCTCTTAATCGATATTATTCAATAATAATTGCTTATTATTCGATAATAATTGCATCAACTATTTTATTATAACTGCACATAATGATTAAATAAACTAATAAAGCATATTTCTGAATCCTCACACAGATATCTTTTCAGTATCCCTACTAAAAATGTCTAAGTGTTTTAGCAGAAAGTAAATGCCAATCTCAATAAGCCTTGCTTCAGTATATGTGACATCCCACCTTACCCGGCAGATACGCCTGGAATTCAGATTATATTAAAGGAATGGGCTTGCATCATAAAATCCTGCATTTTAATCACAAGCAGTAAATAATCTATCCAGTAAGATACTAAATTATCAAAGCTAAATGAATAAATTGCAGTCCATTCAAAATGTACTTTGAAGCTATTCCGTTGAATTAAGCCATAATCATTGCTCAAACAGCTGCAGCGGAAAAGCTTTGATGTACTTCGGATAGAAAACGAAAATATTAATCTTCTGCAAGTGGTGCTCAAGGTAAAAAATCGTGCAGCTTTCTTGAATTAAAGAGCTGGTAAGTTCAATTCGTTGACATCTCTATTCTCGCGAAGACAGTTTACGAATGACCTTCAGGAAAATTGTGAGATAAATAGATAGATTGTTCTAAAACAATGTAAGATTGTAGTATTTTTAAATGCTTCGCTGCACTCGATTTAGGATAGCGAAATGTCGTAAGGTACTTTATCCTATTGAAATTCTGGAGGTAAAACAAAAACTTCCAGAACTTCTGTCTCGTATAATTAAATAAAATTTCAAATTAAAACTAGAAGTTCAAAACTAATCTAAAAACTAAACGATTTTAATTCTTAAATGAAAAATTAAGTAATATACATAATATCTAGGTTCAATTTATTTAAGTCAAATATATTGTTTTGCCTATCCAATACACGAACTAAAATATAGTCTTGAAGTTAAAATAAAAATTCAACACTAAAGTTAGATGGTATTGTAGAAACTTCAGCAGAGCCCTACTTTAAAACTTATTCATAAGATGTATGACAGGGCCGACGTTAAGCGTTTTGGTACCCCGATAGAATCTGTGCGAGTCCTAAAATATACTATCAGGTGTAGCTTATAAAAGTTTTCCTACCCCTAAATTCTGCCATCCAGTGCCTCTCCTAAATTCTAAAAATTTTGCTTCTAGTTGCTTCTCTAAATTCAAAAATTTCTGGCCCCCTAAATCGGTGCAACCTCTCACTGCACTGGCTCTGTGCAGAGGCAATTTAACTATTTTTCTGTTTAACTAGTAATAGTAATAGCTTAAGTAGTGAAGGGTATTAACTCTAGTCTGAGTATTGTTAAGCACGAACTACTAAATTAAAAATATTAAAATAATATATATAGCAACTGTACTTTATTATATGATTAATATAATGATTAATATTGAGTGATATAAGATATTGATATAAGAGAATATTCATATAAGAGATAATGATATAAGATATATTGACATAGGATTGATATTGAGATTGATATAAGAGATACTGTTTTGCAAATAACTGATCTGAGAAGTCAGTATTGTTAATATGGCTATGACAATACCTACAGATACGAGCACATGCTCAATCAGAACTATTATGTTAGATCAGAATATCACAAAAGATCCTGATTCTTTATTGCCGGAATCTTCAATTCCTCTGACCTTTGACTCAATTTTGGACAAAATAAAATCATCTACCATCGATGATAAACATCCAGTTACTCAAATAAACTTGATATATGAAAACTTAATGGAACTCTTTATGTCTGAAAGATGTAAAACTAAAAGATGTAATAAAAGATGCAATACAAAACTTCTCCCGAAAGAAGTGCTCACGGTAGTTTCGGAACAAATGCAACTACTCAAAGATATTGCAATTAATCAATGCAAAATTAACCAAGATATTCTAAATGCACCTACATATGAAGTAAATAGTTGTAATGTAACATCACAAATGCATGGCAATTTAGGTCATCATGCTTGCTGTCATAATGGAGTCTTCCTAGGTCACAACCAAACACATGGATTTCTGCAAAACGTTGACAACTTAAATACTCATTCCGCAATCCCATTCGCCAAGAAAACAAGACTCCCCAACAATCTTGATCTCTCCAAAAAATGAAAACTGCAATAACTTAACTGGACAACTAGACGAGATTCTTCCCTTACGCCAAATTAATGTTGCAGTGAAAAGAATTACCCGAACAAAGAAAGGTGGCATAGCTGTTTCCTGTCATTCACAGGATGATATTTTAAAGATTTCAAACGCCATTGCTAATAATGAAGAGGCATCTAATTTAGTGGACTACCGAATAGCTCAAAAAAGGACTCCAAAAATAATTATCGACAATATTCCCAGCAATACCTCCACTGATATCTTAATTAGTCAACTTTCAATGACAACAGGTTGTGACAGTCAAGATCTCAAACCACTATTTAAACTTTCTGACAAATCCAGGGATCTAGTGAGATGGGTTGTCAGTTGCACCCCAAAAGCCTTCAAATCTTGCCTGAAGCATTCACAAATTCTATTGGGATGGATAAGTTGTAAAATAAGAGAATTTTACGGCCTAAAACGTTGCTACAATTGTCAGGACTTCGGTCATACAAACAGAGACTGTAAAGTAAGACCCTACTGTTTCTTTTGTGGTCAAAACCACTACGCAAAAGATTGTTTAGCAGAAACGCCAACTTGCATTAACTGTAAACTTAACAACAAAACAAATTACACTAAATTTGATATCAACCACACAGCTGCTTCTCCAAATTGTCCCTCTTATTTGCACCAAGTTAACAAAATCAAAAGGAGAACTGAATACGAAGAAACAACTGTTTATACTGCTCAATCCTTAAATTACCAACAAGAAAACAATGTGTAGTTTATCAGCATGTATGCCACAAAATATTGAACAGAATATACAGAACTTCAAGACTATAAACATAGCTCACCAACAACAAAAATAAGCAAATACGATGTCTGCAAATCAATCTACAAAAGGCACAATCAGCATCAGCACAAAGTGTTGAATTTGCACTCACTCAAGCTACACAGCTACTATTACAAGAACCATACACCAAAAACGGAAAATTATCTGGTTTTCCACGTACATGGAATATTATACAAAAAGAAGACGTAATACAACCACCCCGAGCTGCAATAATATGCTGTAATCAAAATTGGACACCGTACATAATAGCTGCAGAACGAGATCAAGTGGCAATTCTTCTCGAAATAGAAAATATTTCAATAATTTTCATTTCTATTTATTCAAGCCCTACAGAAGACCTCACAGCAACATTTGCTTTTCTAGAAAAGATTTTCAATTCAACAAATATTCATCATCAAATTATATGCGGGGATTTTAATGCACATAATATTACCTGGGGATATGCATCAACAAATCCAAAAGGTCGAAATTTAGAAGATTTTATCTCATCTAAAAATCTATTCATACACAATACAATAGATGCTCCACCTACTTTTGATAATAGTTATGCAATAGGATGGCCGGACCTCACTCTCACTACACCACAAATGGCCCCTCTCATCCAAAACTGGGCAGTAGAAGAAGAACAAAGCTTATCTGATCATAAATTTATTACATTTCAACTTGAAGAGAGCACATCTGTTCCAGTAATAAAACGATACACTCTGCCAAAAAAACAAAATTCCAATACTCTCTAATAAAATAAAAAACATCCTTTCAATTCACGAGCAACAACTACAAAACATAGAGTCACCTGAAGAACTTGAAAATCTTACCGAACTTCTGCTAAATAATTTACAACATATATGCAATGAAATCCTCCCAAAGCGCCAATCTAAAAAATTGCAATCATTAAAATGGTGGACAAAAGAGTTAAGAATTCAGCAAAAGAAGTGCAGAGCTTTACGTAGAAAACTAAAATCCGAAAGGCGCCAAATGATACAATCAAATGTATTACAAATTTATCAGCGAGAAAAAGCTACTTATAAAATGATGATATTGCAAGCCAAAATTAACTCTTGGCGTAAGTACTGCACCGAAAATAAAGAAATATATCGGTTTCACCATAAAATAGCCACAGATAAACTCTTCAAACCAATCAAATTATATCTTTCACCGACAAATTCTCAAGGATTTAATCTTCCAGATGCTACTATTAACCATATTTTAGAAACAGTTTTTCCAGAAGATGACATAACTCAAGACACACCTGTACACACTCTAGTTAGAAATACAACGACTTTATCTTCATCTAATGAAGACGTTGAAATTACCACCACAGAGATTAAAACTATCATCAACTTTCTACCTAAAAAACGAGCACCCGGCTCTGATGAAATTGACTATAACATTATTAGGGTTCTAATAAATTCAAAACTGCATTTTTTCAAAATTTACTTCAATAAGCTTTTAAATGCAGGTCTATTTCCCAAAGCCTTCAAAATTGGACAAGTAATATTATTTCTAAAGACAAACAAAGACCCTCAACTAGCCAGCTCTTATCGTCCAATCTGTCTACTGTCGGCACTAGGTAAAGTATTTGAAAAACTTTTAATAAATAGACTTAAACATCATCTTTTCAAGATAAAGTATCTTAGTGAACAACAATATGGTTTTCGACCAGGTAAATCTTCTGTACATGCTCTTACAAATATTGCGGATGATATTCTTACTAATCGCAATAATGGCCTTCATACAGCTTTTATTAGCATAGACTTAAAAAATGCTTTTGATACTTTGTGGTGCCCGGCCATCCGTCAAGCACTACGGAGAGGCTAAATGCCCTGTTAATTTATTCAAAATATTTAATAACTATCTCTCAGATCGTCAGCTGATAATCATAAAAATCATGTGATAATAACAAAACGTCAAACTAGAGGTTGCCCCCAGGGCTCATGTGCGGGCCCTGATATGTGGAATTTAACATTTGACAAAATACTAAAAACTAATTGGCCATGCCACACTAAGGTATACGCTTATGCCGATGATGCCGCATTTATTGTTAAAGGACGCACAAGAAGAGATTTACAAAAGAATTCCAATGAAACTTGCAATATTTTTAGTAACCTCTGCCAAGATCTTAAGCTGGAAATAGCAGAAAATAAATCTCAGGTTCTCCTTATACCTAAAAAAATGGATCTTTATCACGTCGTCTTACCATCCGTCTACAAGATATTCGTCTTAAAATAGTAAATCAACTTAAATATCTAGGGATCACATTTGACCAAAAAATGAATTGGATTCCCCATATTATAGAACTCAAAAAACGCACCAATATCATAGCAACAAAGCTACGTCAAATGCAAGGACATCAGTGGGGATTAAATCCCCATATTCAAAAAATTCTCTACTCTACAGTCGTAGAAAAAATTGTCACATACTGTGCAGCCATTTGGGCAAATCCTATGCAGGGACGCAAAGTAAAACATCTTTTAAATATACAAAGGCCATTTGCACTGAACATAACTAAAGCCTACCGCACAACATCATCCAATGCCATAAATATCTTGGCAGGCTTATTACCACTTCATATTAGCACAGAATTAGAAGCTACTATGCAACAAGTTAAACTTCTAAGAAAACCAGCCATTTTTAATCAACAACAATTTTCACCTCTATATTATGAAGAAAAACCAAACTATCTTGAAATTCATCCATCTAAAAAAGGACAATGTATCAAAGTTGTAATCAATAACAAACATGCACTCTCATATACTGATTTCGAAATCTATACAGACGGATCTAAAATAGAGGACGAATGTTGGTTTTGCTTTTGCAATATTTTCCAACAAATCTTTAATTCACCAATGGAAGAGACAACTTCATAGAAACAATAGCATATTCCAAGCCGAAGCAACAGCAATAAAATATGCAATTACTTATATTCAGGAACATCATTTATATAATACTATTATACAATCTGGCAGCCTCTCCACACTTTATGCACTCAAAGATCTGAAAACTACCTCTCCAATTATTGCAGCAATACAAAATGATTTACAAAATAATCTTCACTTAACACAACCCTTACATGGAAATAAAAGGTCATTCTGGTATACATGGAAACGAAACTGCAGATCAATTAGCTAAAGAGGCTGCTATAGATCGAAATGCAATTACTGTAGATATTCCATGGCCTATATCACACTTGAAAAATATTCTCAAATCAACAGCAATTTTAAAATGGCAGAATGAGTGGAACAATAGTGATACTGGTAGAAGAATTTTCCTACATTTTACAAATGTTGAAGTACAACGGCTCATCACAAACCCTCAATTAGTCCGTTATGTCTCAGGCCACGGACCATTCCCAACCTATTTCGAAAGATTTGATATTTCACACACCAATACATGCAGTTGCGGTCAAACAGGAACGCCCAGGGCGTAGCTAGAGGGGGGCAAAGGGGGGCATCTGTCCCCGGGCGCAGAATCCAAGGGGCGCCAAACTGATGTTACGACATTTTAGAGTTAAATGTTTTCCATCCTTGGCAAGCAGTAGGGGCCGCGAAATCTTCAGTTGTCCCTGGGCGCTGAAAACCCTAGCTACGACTCTGGGAACGCCTGAACACTATATCACGAACTGTCCGTTAACCAAAGATTTTCATATAAACATGCCTTCTACAAATATTGAAGCGTTTAAAAAATTCTTAGTTAAACAAAAATATATAGTACAAAAAATTACGAAAACAATGCAAATACTAGGAAGACTAGAAACAGACCTATGTCAGGTTATATAATTTATTCAAATGCTAAAAATTAAATATCATTTAAAGGATTCTACTTTCAAAATTACCTCTAAATATACATATGCAACGTATGTAATAAATCGTGATATTGAGATATGTCAAATAAAAAAATAATAATAAATAAATTTATTTATTCAGGGATATACCATACATTCATAATGACATTGAATTTTAAAATATGCATTTACTATTCAGAAGAAGAAATTTATAAAGAAGCAATACGATTTAAGGGTCAAAGTAAATCTAAAGCGCAGATCTTTCAACTGTTCTTTTAAAGAATATGGAGGCTACCTATGAAAATGAAGCATTTAATTCTTACAGGAAGATTCTACAAAGAAGAAAGAGAAATTTATTTAACTTTTATAAAAAGAAGTTAAAAGGTAAAAGGACAAGTAATTTATGAAGAAGGAATGTTTTTCTTAAGAAACAAGAACTAACAAGAATGTTTTTCTTAACTGTCCAATAACGGAAGAAGAGGAAGGCTCTACATGATTCAGCCATAGAAAGGAATAAGAAAAGGAACTAATGTCACATTACAATTAGAATAAATGTACCTTTGAATTTGCTAACCAGTAAAATCTACTGTCTATTTACTAGTTAAGACATTTTTCATTAAATAAGAATGTTTCATTAAAAGAAGAAGGGGAAAATTTTACAGGAAGATGTTTTATTAAAAAAAATAGAGAATAAGATATCAAGTTATTTATGAATAAACCACGAGGACGAGAAGAAGATGAAATTAATGAAAAGGGAAGTGAGAATTTAAGAAGAAACAATTCATAATGATGGATTTCATATTTGTCCTATTTATGAAGAATGAAGGGAATTTAACGGAAGTTACAGGAAGAGAAGAAGCTGCTGAGTAGAAGAAGTTTAAGGAATTGAGATAAAGATGAAGATACTCCATAGTTTAAGAATAACTAAAGATTTAGGAAACAAGGAGTAGTTTTCAAGATGATTTAGCTAATGAAGGACTACTTAATCGTTTAAGGAAAGGCAGAAGGAGCAAGTAATTCATAAAGATGGATTTTTTATTCACTATATTAAGTAAAAAGATAAAGGATATATAGGAAGAAAATACATGTAAAATGGAGGAAAGAAATTAAGATAGAAGAAAGGAAGATTTAACGAAGATTAAATGAAAGGAAGATTAAAGGAAAGAGAAGAACGAAGAAAAGAAGAAGAACGAAAGAGAACTTCTTGAAGAAGAACGAATGAATAAGTTTCAAACGTTTTTTACTAAGGACAAATTTCGACATTTTATAAAGAATTACTTTCAAAGATACACTTCATGAAGGACTCTAAAGTACTACTTTAAGATTTTTATTTTTATTTATTTTTTTATATGGCAATGTAAAAACCTTTTATTTATTAATAAATACTCGATAAGGGCGGACGTGGGCAGAACCGATTAACCGTAATGGTAGGGGGAATGGTGCCCACGTCCTCCGTTACTACTACTACTACTAATACTAATAATAATAATAATAATAACTACTACTTAGTTGAAGGGTGTCAGGCTTTTCCAGTTGAGGGTTTTATAAAAAATCGAATCATTTCAGGCTTTCTTCCTAGGATAGGTAAAAGTGATTCCATTTCAGTTTTTCGATTCATTGTCAACTTAAAATACTGAAGCGCGATAAAAAAGATCACGTGACTATGAAGTGATGTCAGTAAAAGACGCTTCAACCTTTTAACTTAGTTTAGGCACTGCTTAGGTAAGCCATCAATGACACTGGTCATTACACCTGATACATAAAACAAAATGTTTTTAAAATTTGATTACAATTTATTATTATTATCTTGAAGCAAGCTCATGTTTATTTCTAAAGATTGATCACTGCTAAAATTGCTTTATTTCTGTGTCTTGAAACCTGAAACACTAAAGTGAAAAATGAAAGCTTTTGAGGATTTGGTTACAATTAACTCTGAGTTAAAAATACACTACTGCA